ATTTTCGATTCTTGGTTAGTACTGTACCGAATTGAGATTTCCAGAAAGTCTCCAATCCGCACGATCGAGTTATGCAATGCTTATATATAGACTTATAAGAATACATATTAGTATTGCCCATGATTTGTAAATACCATTCAAGCAATCTTTGCAAAATTAAATATTGGGAACTTCAAAGTATATTTATGAATAACAGATGCCAGATTGTGTGGTATAAACAATGGTGCTGGCAAAATTAAAAAAATAGATTGAGTTTTCAATAGCATTCAGTGTTGGCTCCTTTTTTACAACCACATGTCTTTCTCTCACCTGGTACCTAAAAAAATACTTAAACATGAATGAATAACTATCTATGATTAAAAGTTTGAACCTGACAACCATGCAATAATTGTTATCCACTGTACCACAAAAACCACTAATTCTCATTAATGTATCTAAAAACTAGACACTTAAATATACATATGTATGTTCTTTTTAATTTATATCAAAATACCACAGCAAACAACTTTTGTGGCCATCACGTAAATAAAAATTGTAGCCAGAGAATAAATATGCAATGCCATGCCTGAGAGGGGACTTTACATTCTTTCGATTCCAGACATACGAATGTGGAAATTGTGCTTTGGGTTGGGAGGATTTACTTCGAATATACATACAATATATGTGCAGTATATACATATATAGTATGTGTGAGTGTATACGCTTGAAAGAGTTGCACAAATATTTACAATAGTGTTTTTCGAAAAACGTGCTTGTCGGAAGTGTATGTGTTTGAATGTATAAGTACAAGTATATACAGATACGAATATGAGGATGGGCTTTCACAAATACCTACATATTATCGCTTATTTTACAGCATATTCCACAACTTCAACTTTAAATTTCAAAATAAAATTTTATAGTGTTTTAATTCAATATAAGTGCTTAAATTACGTACGATTTAAAATTTTTATTTTTATTAAAAGCTAGTATTACACCAAAAACCAGGTACCAACCGGATACAACTCTAAGCAGAATACAGAATGCATATCTAAATTAATAACATGAAGCTAAGAGTGTTCCTTGTACGAGTACATATACCTGCATGTGGTAAATACTTACTCATGTGTGAAATTGTTGCGGTGTATGCTGCTGTGTGTACTTCCCCTTTGGTAACCTCACGTTTATTAAAACAAACCTACATACGTGCTAGTGGTTACGTACTAGATGGTCGGAAGATATCTGGTGGGGTGGATAAATCGTACGTCAATTATGCGTGGCTTTCAAAAGAGTTGGGTAACTGCATAACTCTCATAGGCAGAACCTATTAAATAAATTTAAGATGTTGACTAATTACTAACTATACTCAATAGTTAATGGAGTCGATATGCATTCTTAAATTTTGATTTAATGATAATATTAATTAATGAATATTTAAGTCATCATATGACGAAAAAAAATTATCAGCATAATTTCCCACAAATTTAAGAACAACTCGCATAGATTTGCCGGACATGCTTCATTTGTTTGTTATACCCTGAACAGAGTATATTAAGCTTGCCACGATGTATATAACACCCAGAAGGAAACGAAGGAGCCTCTATAAAAAAAAAATATATATATGTATATGTGAATGATCAGCGTGACAGTTGAATCGATTTGGCCATGTCCGTCTGTATATACGCAAACCAGACCCACATATTGAGATATCGCTTTGAAATTTTGCACACGTCCCACCGATATCGGGCTACTATTCTAAGGCAACGACACAATATCCAAACATATTGTTCGAATCGGTTCTCGTTAACTTGCCATTCAAACTGATCGATCAAAATCAATATAAAGAGCTTTTTATACTCTGTAATGTACAGACCATAATAGTTTTGTTCACCTAACAGCTGTTTATATCACCTAAACCTAACCGAGAAGGTAAAGTTATATATACATAAATGATCAGGATGACGACTTGAGTCCGTCTGTCTGTCCGTCCGTCCATCCGCCTGTCCATGCAAACTGTAACTTGAGTAAAAATTTAGATATCCGAATGAAACTTGTTGCATGTGTTCTTTGGTAAAAAAGTGAGGACAAGTTCGTAGATGAACGAAATCGGACCATTACCATGCCCACAAATCACCATTAATTGAAATTCTACAAATTGCCATCACTAAGCTGCAAATTGAGATACAAAACTGCAAATTGGCACAGGCGATTGTAGTAGCCAGGGGCACGAAAAAAAACTATTATACTCTATAGCGATATGTTGCAAGAGTATAAAAAATATTTTTGTTATTGTCAGCTATCGGGGATGCGAGGATTGGCTTCTTTCCAATTTTCCCAATCGTTACTATATACTTGTATTACTATATAGTTCTATAGTGTCTTTATATATATTGCTGGTAGATTTCTTGCGGTGTTATTGTGTAATGTTAATACAACATGACGATAATGTCATGGAAAGCGGAATTAGTGGGGGTTCAATCAATGTAGAGTTCGTTATTATTTTGCGAGACAACCCACAATGTTAGAGGGTTTGTTATATCTGCGTGAACACTGGAGCGTGCTATTTACGTCCTTAAGTATTAACTCGTTTCTGCATAGAAGCAATTTTGCATTGAGTAGCAGTGCGTTATATGTGGCCCTTTGCAGAATATTTGGGTTTCTATTAAATTGCTTAAACTGGTCATGTTGGGAAGGCATGCATACGCCTTGTAGCTGCCGCATGGCAAGATGCAGTTAAGTGCTATCTATGCACCATATAGGGTTTTGGTACTGTATCCGTACATTGCAAAGATTTGATGGGGTGGGACATAAGCAAGAGTTATTGCTGCCGACAGGAATTTGTGTATGATTCACACATTTCTAATAAAAACTGCAACTCATTGTTTGGTGTATAAGTTTTGTGTACTATTGTGGAATTAACTGTGATATTTATTAGCAGGATAAATCTATTTATTGTAAGATGTGAGTTTCTTGGAGTGATATAAATTCTGGACGAAATTCATTAATAAGGATCTTTAAATCCGGGTAGTTATTAAGTAGGTCATTATTATTCCTAATTACCAAGGCACTTCTATTTTTTTTTGGTAGGTGATATTTATCAAAGTTGAGGAGAACAATTCCACTAGGTACTAGCTTTTGGTTTATGTACTTAAGAAATTTGAAAATGGATACATCCTGTTCTTTTAAATGTTCAATCATTTCATCATCTGGAATTTCCTTAAGACATGATGTGTAAATTGTTCCTTTTGTGTAATTAAGGTTGTTGTGGAGTTTAATATATGCCATGTAAAGTTTGAAATTTTTTGTGCACAACAAACACGAATATTTGTTTATGAATATTTGGGAATTTATTGCACTTAGCCCTAAATATCTTGGAGTGTCTTTTGTTTTTAGAGTAAGACTCTGGAAAGCATTAATGTGTGCTCGTGCTCGTAAGCTGACCATGGGTTAAAAGCGTATAGGTATTTCGCTTTCGGTAACAGGTTTCGTCTAAGTTCGCGGTGTGTGCTCAGGATTCTAATCTAACCGTTCACGGCATATCTCCGTTCGAATGGTTTTACGAACAATTATGCTGATGATTTCGCGTCTTTGTAAAGATTTAAATATGAATATCTGGTTTCTAATACTTACTGGAACCAAGCCTTCACTGGCCACAGTAGCATAGTTATGTGCATGCGGAGCGCTTGACCAAAGCTTACCATCCTTTGGCTTGTATGATAAACTAATAGTAGAAGTCGAGGCATACGGCATCGTGTTCATACAGATGGCTCCAGCAACACTTCGGAGGCAGATACAGCACCACCATATAAATCATTACCGGCAAATAAACTCTCCGTTTCAATAGCTATCATATCGTCGATAGTATTTACTAATGCCATTTTTTCATCTTCAAAAAATATTATATGCAATACTTATATCTACACTAATGGACAACTCTCCCTCATTTATTTTTTAAAATTTTTTTTCTCGGAAAACTACGGATGAATTAACTTCAAACCAAACAACAGAGCTGTCTAAAACACAACTGGTTCATTCCCAAATCTGTACAGTCGTGACTGAATATAATTTAGTATATATAATAATATATATTTTTCATTAAATAAAACTGAATACAAATAGCTGCAAATTGAAAAAAGTTAATTGTTTATAAAAATGTACCTTTTGTTTATGAAAACAAGTCGAAAAAACTCAAAGTATACTTTATTATATTATATAGAAAAAATCGTAAAACCAAAGTATTTCTAAACTCGTACCCATAACCGTTCTGATTTTTTTGTAAAATGTCTGCACAGACCGTCTAAAGTCTTCTAGGGTTAAGCATAATTCACAAATAAAGCGTGCATATATGAAATGCCTTTATAAAGAACTTCTGATCACATCAAACTGAAAAGCTTTTTAAAGCTCTTTTTTTCTCAAATGGTTTTACATTTTGCATTTTCAATACAGAGGGATTATTTCTATTATGTGTATTGTCCCCATTTTTTTTAGTAACTGCAGAAGTTCCCAGACATGTACCATTCACAATAATATAACAATTCCTAAATATATTTGGTAAATCCACATCAAAACTGTTGGGGTACATATAGGAAATGAAGTGACCATTACTCTACATAGGAAGACATTAAATTTTTGTCTTTTTAGATAATTAAGACACTTATTAAAACAAGCCACATTTCCGAAGTTTAAGTTTACCTTATCTTTTAAGGGAGTGCCATTCTCTCTACACTTCATCTACAGATGAGATCATTGCGGAATAAACCCGTATTTTAACCTGCACCACAAGCAGCAAACACATTTACGCTCGTGTCTGTATGTATGTATGTTCAAAGCCAACAAAGTAATGGACCACTTTAAAATGATGCACATCTTTCAGGCGAACACATCAACCTTGTTCAACAAAAGCATGTGTGCGTGTGCGTGTGCTTCAACAAAATGCAATGTCAAACTTTACAACAACACAATTGACAACTACTACATTAATTTGAATGTACTTCGTGTTTTACGTTTATTTTCGGAATTTCTCTCTTTTGTCATTGTGCAGTCAGTCGGTGATCCCCATTCGTTTTGGGAATGGAAATACATATGGCAAGTTGCCAAAATGAATATTTGCATTGCAAAAATCTCATTGCACACTTCCCTCTCCGTCCCTCTGATATTCAGGCGTCTTATATTGCTCACAGCCAATTCAAGTTAGCAGACAATGAAAACAGACATATGTTTAAGCGTAGGTGCACGTGGCTTCTATGCAATTTTTGTGAAGCCATTTTGGCGTTCTCAACATTTGCAGAGCTCTTCCTTATCTGCTAGCATTGTACCATCAACGGCTTAGAAAAGTGTAATGGGTACCCTCCGGCAAAAGCAATTGTGTACAAATCAGTGGTGCTGTAAACAAAGCTCCACTTTAAATGAAAAAATATTTTGTCTCACTAAATTGGAAAAACGTCAAATATTCCGAAATTTAATTGATTATTCTTACTTTCTTATATTGATCGACGAGTATTTCAAGTAATCATCTCTTGGTATGTATTGTTTTTTCCAGTCCTCGAAGCACTTCTGGAAAGTAGTTTTTGCTGTACCCTTGCGTTTTGCCACATACTCAGTTTTTACATTTTGAGTGGTAAAAATATTCTCATTAGAATTTGAATGTTGAGAACCCACAAATTATGAAAATAGCTTTAGTTTTCATGCATCCCGAATATGTAATGAAATATACGAAGCTAGCGCGACTCACGGATAAAAGATTGCACCGCTTTTCGAATGTTCGAAACAAATACATTGAAATAACCGTTATTTAGTACACATATTTGAAAATCTTTTTAATTGTTATTGACTTATTCTAGTTCTAAAACCTTAAAAAAAGTTTTTGTTTGTACTACAATAAATTTAAGGAACTTGCTCTTGTCGTGAATTGATCCTCGGCAATTGGTTCCCAATACTTCTATGAGAAAATGTCAGTTATAGACTGTGAGGAATTGAATACCCCTCTCTTTACTTTTAATTCCTTTTTGCCCTAACAAATTTTGTTGGATTTCTTTCGTCATGATAGCTTTCATTCATTAGAGTTTCTATGTCCGCATCGACAAAATGTATCGAAGGTTGCCAATACATAAAGTACGGTGAAAATATTTTTTCTGACATCTAAAATTTCTCAGAATATTAAATGTACGAAGATAGAACCTCGAACTCGAAATCTTCCAGTAACAATTTCCACACAAGACCGAAGTTTTTCGACACACCAACAGCCGTTATTTAGAAAATTTTCAGGAAATTCGTCTTGTAGTGACATCCACTACTTGTCTTGTAGCAAGAACCTCTAGAAATCTCATGATAATAATGTCATGTTTCATAGATTCACATTATCGTATATATGTATAAGGATACGAAATAGCGTCGAGGTAACATGCTATTAGATCAGAATTATTTAACTAGAAACAGAACTGGACTTATATATCTCAAAATATTTTGAAAATGAATTATACTGCAAAAACAACTTCAATATTTTTCATGAGTAGCTCGTTCGTTTAATTTAGTTTAGTTTAGAACTGTTCTCACCCATTTTTAATACCAATAATGGTAATATCTCCGTTAAAGTTAGATTATTTTGTTGACGTCAAGATTTATTTCTTATTGTTGGGGTCAACCGTTATTCTATCATTATTTTCCAGTGCCTGATATCTGACTCATCGATTGCTCAATGAAATACGACAAAGAAATTCCAGAAGCAGTAGCCGTTATGTCTTTCAGCTTAAGCCTTTCAAACCTTAATTGATGGTAAAAATCTATAAGAATAAGTGAAATATTGATGAAATTATGCAAGCGATTTTTTAGCATACGAATTTTTACGTTAAATTGTACGATGTCAATATTTTAAGTTTGCAAAAATTACAAATAAAATTTAATATATATTTATGATTCCCAAATATTTTATTAAAAAAGCACAATTGACATATTAAACACTGAAATATTTTTAAAACACTATTGCCATTAAGTTGCCACTAACAACCAGAGCTTCCTTATGTCACAATTTTTACTACACATCATACCGACGCTTAACCTTACAATCTGGATGATGTGGATGCCCATAAATAAATATCTGCTAGTGGCTTCAACCTTTCTCGGTTGGCATAGGTGGTTACAGCCTCCTGCATTATCAATACAGTTACCTCAACTTTCCAGCAGTATATCAAAAAACTCCATAGTGCATTCAAGCCATTCCACCCTACCCTCTTCTACTTCTGTTTATACTTGTTGTCGCCTGGACATTTACTGCCTTTGCCGTTTTTGCCAATGACTGTCTCAGGCGTCTTGTCCACTTGGCTCGCTTGTCAGGGACATCACATTAATGGGCATTAAGCACAATTTAGGTCCACTTAAGTGTGACATTTCCCATCGTTGAGCTGTAGCTGCCTCTGCACTATTTTTCCACACAAAGACCTCACCGGTTTGCAGTCCTACCCGCTGCCGTCCACTGCTTCTTGGTCATATTTTCTACTCGTCCAACATCCCAAGCATTATTTCAATTTTATTTCTTGCAAAGTTGTTACTTTAAGTGCTGTTTGTACTTTGCCAATGTAAATGTCAGTGTTGTAGTTGTAATTTTATTTGCAATTGCTGTTACTGAGTAGAGAGTACCTTTGGCCTTACTCCAGCTGCACTGAGAAGCAGCTCGTTTGGTCGACTTTTTCTGCTTCACTCGCTTCTCACTTCGTTTGCCACATTACATGTTTTCATTTCGCTATTTTCCGTAATTTGCCTTACTGTGTGCTTAGCTTGCATATCTGGATTTCTTCATTTGTAGTTAAACTCGTAGATACAAGGTGGCAACGTGTTTTAAAAGTCAAGAATATTTATCAAAATCTGTTTTTGTACCCTGAACAGGGTATACTAAGTTTGCCACGAAATTTGTAACACCAAGAAAGAAACGTCGGAGACCCTATAAAACATATACAAGTACATATCATCAGCATGATGAGCTGAATTGATTTAGTAATTTTCGTCCGTCTGTCCGTCTTTCTGTATATATAATATACGAACTAGTCCGTCAGTTTTTAAGCTACCGTTCTGAAATTTTGCACCTGTCCTTTTCTCACTAAGAAGCTGCTTGGAACGGCCGACATCGGACCACTATAATATATAGCTGTCATACAAACTGAATGATCGGAATCAAGTGCTTGCATGGAAAACTTTTTTATTTGACGAGGCATCTTCGAAATTACATCGGAATCAAGTTATTGTAAGGAACCTTTGTATCTGTGAATGGTATCGGTGCAACCGAAGTTAATGTTTTTTCTTGTTTTGTTTTCCAGTGGCGATTCTGAAGTACTGAACCTTACCGCTCAATGGCGCCAATATCGCAGCAGAGATTCTGTATTCAGTGGAGGACAAGTGCAACCGTCAAACCTGTTCATACCATTATTTGACGTTATTTAAGCACAATTCAAAGGAGTTTCTGTTTCAAGAGACAAACTTGCTCCGAAGAAGGCGAAGACCGTCCCAAGATCCGAAAAGGTGATAGACACAATTCTCTGAGCTTAAGAAAATGTGATCATCACCGATTAAACGAAAAAGGGCAAAAAGATCGCAAGACTCTACTATTCTGAAATATTGGGCAGCTCCGATATCGAATTGCAGATTCAACGGCTCTATTTGGAAGAAAAAGTGCTTTTCCAAATTTGACTCCGTGAGACTCTTTTGTTTCATTTTTCTTTTGAAGAACAAGTCCTTTTATGATCACCATCGTATTTGGAAGCAAACGAAAGAGGAAGGTTATTATGGAATAGAAAAATTTTCATCAAATAATTTCTGTCCTTAAAATGTGTTGCTGACACAGCCAACAGCATGGAAGGTGGCAATAATACCAATATTGCAAAATTCACTTTATACCTTAGATCACATGCGATGGCTTCTCAACGTTCGCCTTGGCTTTTCCAATCTCCATACGATTCTGATCTATAAGATCATCATTAGCTGCCAAGGAGAAGAAGCTGCGAAAAAGGAAAAGCTGTCATTGTCAAAATAGACAGAAAGGAAGTCAACATATGAAACACCCTATGCAAATAGAAGTACCTACAAATAAAAGAGCATTCATAAGCACATCGCAAAAAATGGAAAAAATTACTGAATGTACAAAAAATGTTCAGCTTGTCAGTTGCCTTCACTTCTGTAGAAAGCCGGCGATTAAACCATGGAAAAGAACTCAAATTAAATTAGGAAGAAAGCAGCGTGTAATAGTGACTATGGTAATTGAGCTGGAGAGAGTGAGTGGGTGGTAAGAATTTATGTATCTGATTACGATCATGCCAGCATTTCTTCGCTCTGCTTGGTGGCTGCGCAGTCACAATTTATTTGACTAATGCGCACGCGCTATTGTGGAAAAAGTTAAGTCACTGCGGCAGAAGATTTTACAATCAAAGAAAGATGCTCGTATCACAACCTCTACTTGCTGATTTCTGCCATGCGACCGCTAATGCAGTTTTGTCATTAGTGTGCGGCAGTTGCGGTAAAAAGCATTTCCTTCGTTGTTTCTTTAGAAGATAGCAAAGCGAAAAGAACGCGAATTGTAATTGCTTTAGTTTCGTATGTTTCCCTGAAGGAAAACATTAAGTATAGAAAAGAGACTAGATTTTATTAGAGGCAAATATCTAACACTCAACAGCTTCTATCTTTTTCAAGACATTGTCAAGAGTTTTATTAAAATTAAGGTTAAGCTGTTATCAAATAAACAGAATTTTCATTTTCAACCATACATTATATTCAATGATATCCTTTCCTGTCTGACGTTAATTTTACATTTTTAAGAAAACATTACATCCTATAAAGATTGAGCAAAAAACTAAACTAATTTATAAACTTTTTGTATATTTAGACTATTTAATTTCGGTATTACCAAACGGTCTGTATTAGGCAAATTAATTTTACAAGTGGTGTGGTATTGAATATCAGTCAACTTTATTCAAACTCAAATGAAATTATCTTATTTCAGCTACTTGTCAAAAACTACGTTAGCGTCAAACATTTTGACAAAGCGTTACGACATGAAGTTGGCTGTTGATGCAGATACATTAAAAGATGAATAATGAGATAAGTAAATCAATTATATCTATGTATTGCAATAAACATACTTATATTATTAAATTTAAAATACTTTTCTTATGTAATATAATTTAATTACAAAGTTTTACCGTTTATTCTTCATTGAATTGAAAAATACCCAACAATTTGACCACTTCATTTAAATAAATCGCGCGTTGCTACCCTTGGAATCCTTAACCCTGGATGCTCCAGTTCAGCGTGCCCAGCCGAATCAATTCAAATTTGTTTCCTAGATTGCACAACCTTTTTTGATGTGAATTTGAAGTTTATGCTCATTTGGCTGTAGATCCTTTTTTAAACTGTGACCTAATAATAACACGGTAATTTGGTTGAAATTGGTAGTAGGTCATGAGATATGTGATTTCACCTAAATGTATGTTGCAGGAGCATACAAATTTAGAATGACAATGTTTCATATATGTGTGTACACAATATATCACATAAAGTATATTTGTATGAAATACAGTCGTTGTGTCTACGAATTACAATTAGCTAATAAAAATGCAAAGAATTCAGCAAAGTCATTAAAAACTCTAAGGTCTTGCAAGTTTTCGAGACATCGACTAATTAAATTTGTTTAAATTAAACCAATTCCAGACGCAAATCTGCAAAAACTTGAAGTTTCACAAAGTCACAACGTAAGTATAGAGGCGAAGAAGAAGCAAAGCAGAAACAAAGAAAATGTGAGCTAAGTAGAACTACTTATCAAAGTTCGGCATTTACAAACATATGTACATGTATGTCGAAATGGATATGCAGTTATTTGTAGGTGCAAGTATACAAGTACAATACATAGATATGTACATATTTCGTGAGCAACCAACATGTTTGCATATGCCTATATGTGTAAATATATATGTAAATATATTTGTTGCATGGGTGATATGAATGATCATGGTCAGTTATGCAAATAAATTTAAATATAGCATATGCATGTATAGGTAATAACGACACATGATGGTTCCGTTAAGTAATGCATTATATTATATATTATTTGTCATCAGATGTTAGTAAGCCGAGCCAAATACAAGCAAACTGTCAGGTATCAGAGATAATGGCAATTACCCGCAGCCGCATAATACGAAATAGACACATATCCAAATAGTACATATGTTTATATTATATACATATGTATGTATTAATAGACATGTGGATACTATCTATTTACATGAAATATGTCACTTATATGTATGTGTTTACCTGCAAAAATGTGCAAGCCATTCAATTATGTAAATTAGTACACGAAAAAAATGTCCATAGTGTTTTATAGAATATTAAATGAGGTTAGGTAAATTTATTACGGCAAATCCCGAAGAGGAGATCACACGTAGGCAGTTTGAAACATGTTCTTTAAAATTACTTAATATTACACACAAATAAAGGGAATAATCTGAGATTAGCACAAATATAAATAGAATGGAGACGATATTCATTGTTAGATATTTGACCTGAATTGAGTTGAAAAGCAAACCAAAGTGATTTAGATACACTTAAAAAAAAACAGATTAGTTTTTAAGGATGTACCATCCTACACACATCTGTAATAGTTGTGAGCCTTAGCCTTAGCACATGAGTATCAATCCAAAAGTCACCGCTGAACCTCACGAATTATGACTACGCGGTTATATTCGTGACTGCCGTACAATAACCTGAGTTTAGAATACTGTAGGTCATATTATATATGTAAATTTTCAGCGATCTCTGTGGAATTTTCAAAATATATTTAGGGCTATTCAATTAGAAATTCAATTACATATTCTAATATTCGAATATAATATAATATTTCTATTACATCAGAAATAATTACATATTCTAATATTCGAATATGTGAGTTTTAT